AAGGAAGATATTCATGTTTAATTGACATTAACAAAATTCTTTTCTCTAAGGTCATTCATGATGCTGTGATACATGGAAACATTTTAATAATTCCGTTAAAATTAAGCAATTAAGAAATTATGAATGGGCCTGGCCAGTGTAGCTCAGTTGGTTGGGCAAAATCCTATGCATTGAAAGTTGCTGGTTCAATTCCAAGTCAGGCTACATGTCCAGGTTGTGGGTTCAATCCCAGTGGGGGCATGCAGGAGGCAGCCGATCAAAGTTTTGCTTTCACATAGATATTTCTCTCTCCTCCCTTTCTCTCTAAAAATCAATAAAAATATTAGGGACAAAAAAAAATCATGATTGTTCTTACATTTAGTTTAAAATCACTTTAACTTGTTTATCCATGTATTTATTTGTAGAAATATTCTGTGAACACACAAAAGCTCTCTCGTGGGCTTCCCCTTTGTCCCAGGCCTCTGGATCTCAAACATCGGCAGAAGAATTGTTCCTACAACTTTTAAAAATGCCAGCTGCAAGGCTTGTTTGTGTCAGACCTGCCAGATACGAATCTCCATACTTTTCTAAGATCCATGTAGAAACTAGTGCATGGTCCGCTGTAGAAGCTCTGATCCAAACAAACCTTCGTCATGATTGCATCTGATTTATAATCTAATGAATATCATTTCTTTTTCTTATACTCACTCATCTTTCTAGCTGCCCATGTGGTGCTCAACTTGCCTACTGAGATAAACAAATAGGCATCTCAAACTTAGCATGGCCTGAACGGAATTTCTACCCCCATAACGCACCTTCTTCTCCCCAGATTTCTTCCATTTGGATAAATGTGCGACAATCTATAAAAGTTGCTTAAGTCCCCTCTCCAACCCCCCAAAAATTTCAAACAAGAAGAAAGAAACAACAAAATCTTTGAGTGATCATTCATTCTACTTTTCTCTTTTTGAAAAACAAATATATTTTTTATTATTGACTTCAGAGAAGGGAGAGGGAGGAAGAAATGAAAATATCAATGATAAGAGAGAATCATTGATTGGCTCCCTCCTGCACGCCCCACACTGGGGATCAAGCTCACAACCCAGGTATGTGCCCTGACTGAGAATCGAATCATGACCTCCTGGTTCATAGGTTAATGCTTAACCACTGAGCCATACTGGCCAGGCAATTTTGCTTTTCTCTTAATCCTCCAACAATATTTAATCCATCAACAAGCTCTCCTCTAATATATTCCAAATGTACCTACTTCTCTTCACCTGTATTGCCACCACGTAGTCCAAGCCATTGTTGTTTTTCCATTTTACATTATACCAGTAGCAAAACTCCTAAAGTGATTTCCCTATTTCTACTCTGACTAAATTGTCTGCAGACATTAGCCATGAGGTGTTTCAAAATATCCAGTGGATCATGTCATTCCACCCCAAAGGTTTCATTGCAGCCAGAAGAAACACAGATTCCAAGGCTGCATGTGATGTGGCCCCTGTCTCTGTATCCTCACATCTTAGCATGCCGCGTCTCACTGTGGTCCCGCCTGGCTGCCACTGCCTCCTTCTGGTCTTCTCACACGCCAAGACTGTGCCCCAGTGGGGCCATTTTCACTAGTGTTTCTTTTGCTTGAAATGTTCTGCATGTGGTTTCATGAAGCTTGTTGCTTCTGGTTAAGTCTCAACTCAATTGGCACTTCCTCTCAGACGTCTTTCCTAATCTTCCCATCCAAATTAGCCCCCCACCGAAGTCATTCTGCACCACATGACTCTTTCTTGTCAGCACACAAACATCTTAGGAGAAAAAACAAACACAACAAAATAACAATAAGCCTTTCCTTCACCATGTGAAGACTTCTAATATTGTCCTTTTTCTTTCCTTTTATTACCAAGACCAGAGGCCCGGTGCACAAAATTCATGCACTGGATGGGGCGGAGTCCCTCAACCTGGCCTGCACCCTCTCACAGTTCAGGACCCCTAGGGGGATGTCCTCCTGCTGGCTTACATCCCTTTAAGCTGGCAGTCAGACATCCCTCTTGCAGTCTAGGGCTCTTGCAGTCTGGGGCCCCTCGCTTCTTACCGCCTGCCTGTAGTGGAGGCGGGAGAGACTCCTAGGACTGCCACTGCACTCACCAGCTATGATCCTGGCTTCTGAGCATAGGGCCGGTGGTGGGAGCCTCACCTGCCTCTGAGGCAGTGCTAAGGAGCAGCAAGCCCAGCTTCTGGCTGAGCGGCACTCCCACAGGGGGAGCACACTGACCACCAAGGGGCAGCTCCTGCACTGAGCATCTTCCTCCTGGTGGTTGATATGTGTTGTCGCGACTAGACATTTCTGCCATCCTGTCGATTTACACATTAGCCTTTTATTGTATAGGATTCTAGCAAGAGGAGGCCCCACTCACATCCTGTTCATTTCAGAAGCCACATTAGTTTGGCTTATGGCTAATATCCAATTAATATTAATGAACATGGAATTGATATGCTCAATGACTTATTTTCAGTCCTCATCATGCTTTCTGTATTTATAGCATTTGACACTCTCACCTTGAATTGCCCTTTACTTCCAGTAGAGTGAGATAGGTAAAAGTCCTATAATACCGAAAGCAGTCTCCAGTAACAACAAAAATGTTGCGTTCTACATAAGTCATTTGTATAAGCTAAAAATAAATTTATAGCTACTGAGCCTTGAAACTAGGTTTTACATATAAAAATAAATTCAGTTTTGCTCATTTTAATATTCATTACATTTTCCAGGAATTTAGCCACCATGTAAGTTGAAAGATGATTAATTTGTTTAGTTTGGACATTTACTAAGAGTTGTTCAATGTTTCAGAACATTATACCTTCAATGACAAGAGGTCTTGTGGTGTGGTATTTGTGTACTGTGTGATATGTAGCATGGTTATATCAGTATAAATATGTATCCTATATAATAAAATGGTAATATGCAAATTGTCCCCTCGACCTAGAGTTTGACCTGAGTTCAACCAGGGGATGGGGCTGGCCTGCCAACCACATGGGGCCCCTTTCCCTGGTCGTCCCTGCCCCTGATCGGCCCCACACACCCCGATCGGGGGTAGGGTCAGCACACCACACACCCACGACTCCTTCCCCCAGTACACCCGACCCAATTGACCCCAATCAAGGCCGGCTGGCCAGATCCCACCTGTGCATGAATTCATGCAACAGGCCTCTAGTATATGTATAAGTGTACTATATACATGTATACATGTGTAGTTATCACAGTCACAGTGTTTCTAGGTGTGTATATATGTTAAAATGCTTATATATGCATATATGCATAACTACCTGTGTATATATATATACACACATATACATATATCAGCACATGTATATATATTCAACCCTTATGTTAAAATGCAAATATAAAGAAAATATTTAGTTAAATATTTAATTTATTGTTTAAATATGGACTTCCTCCTTATAAATAGGTATAGTATTTAGTAACTTCATTATATCATTTAATATAGATATGCCTGAAGCATTTATATATTTAACTAGGTATTTTATTGGAAACATTTCATTTATTTCTCCTTTATATTAAGGATAGAAATTATATATTATATTTGTAAAATTGTGGGTTAAAAGATGATATTATCTATGACTTTTATTTAATGACCAGAGGCCTGTTGCACAAGATTCATGCACTGGGGGTTGGGGGGTCCCTCAGTCTGGCCTGTGCCCTCTTGCGGTCCGGGACCCCTTGGGGGATGTCCACCTGCTGGCTTAGGCCCAATACCCCCAGGGATCAGGCCTAAGCCAGCAGTCAGACATCCCTCTTGCAGTCTGGGGCTCTCATAGTCCTGGAGCCCTTGTTCCTTACCACCTGCCTGCAGCAGAGGCAGGAGAAGCTCCCACCACCTCTGTTGTGCTTGTCAGCCATGAGTCAGGCTTCTGGCTGAGTGGTGCTTCCCCTGTGGGAGCACACTGATCACCGGGAGGAAGCTCCTGCATTGAGCATCTGCCCCCTGGTGGTCAGTGCACATCATAGTGACCGGTTGTTCTGCTGTTTGGTCAATTTGCATTTTAGCCTTTTATTATATAGGATAATAAAAGGGGGAATTTAATAATAAATTATAATTTATTATAGAGCTGGGTCTGATAGAGCTGGGAACCAATACTTTATAGTTCCATGCCTCTAATGGGCTTCTCCTCAAACTAGCATGATCTTCCTATCCTTTCTACCTGTAAAACTTCCACCAGCAATCAGGAACTCTCCCCTTTCCATGCTCACATGTCCCCTTGTCCACAGCACTATGAAAGCATGTCTCAGACAGTACTTATTCTATTCATCTGCTGCTCTCCCACTGTAGACTGCAAGCTCCCAGACAGTGTAATTCTTGTCTCACTCCTTCCTGTAAACTTGGCACATAGTAGGTTCTCAATAGATGCTTACAGAATGAATGGACCTATTTGAAAATCTGACTAAAGTTACGAACTCTGTATTCAGAAAATGTACTACACGTACACCTACCAGCTTTCCACCCAGTTTCCAGCATTCTAAGATATTGGGAACACAAGAAGTATTTTCCGACCTAGATATTATTAAAGAGAAAGCTTTGGAACAAGACATTTCAGAAAATGCCTCTTCCACATAATTTGAACACAAAACAAGTAAACTTCTTCTCTCTCAAATCACAATTTTGAGTGAATAAAAGAACATCTTCGCCTTTGACAGTTTTATACCAATGGATTAACATGTAGTGATTTTATACCCTGGGAATGTGCGATGTGCTGGAAACACTGTTTTATTGTTTAAGTTTGGTTAAAGGTAAATCATATTTAGTATCTCTTAGCAAAAATAGAAAGAATTGTAAATTATTTGCAATGGAAAAATGGTTCCATTTCATGTTATAGCATTTTCAATTGAAAATGAATTTTACCAGTGAGATACGGGGAGTTTGTAAAACAACCAGGTACTTTACTTTTTTGCAGTTAAAAAATAGATTCACTTTTATACCTGCAATCTCTCAGAAAGATGCTTACGCTGCTCTCACCTCATCAGAACCAGATCCAAAAATCAGCAAGTCGAAAGGAATCGCTGCCACCATGTCGATCAGGAACCAGCCTTTGAAGTAGTGGATCGCTATTTTGGCGGGGTCACTGACCACTTCCTCATTCTGATTTACGTACGTAGTTCTGAAGTTTATTAGAATATCTATGATGAACATAATATCCACAATCAAGTCTACCACATTCAAAGGGCTGCAAGAGTAGCCACATTCTCGCCGCTTCTGCTCCTCTCTGTCATTGAGGAGGAAGGCTGCCGAGTAGGGGGTGAATATAGCCGTGTATATGACTAACAGCAGGATAAGCCAGTCCCAGACGGCCTTGAAGGGACTGTAGTGCAATATTGTAAACTTGTTGATGCGCGGCGTCTGCAGTTTGTATTCTGGCAGGACGTCTGCTCCTAAGGAGAGAACCTGAATATAGAAAAGAAAAACATATACCATATAAAAATGCCATTATTTAATCCCCACACCTATACAAATATTAAGGTCATTAAATAGCAAAACCTATTAGAAAGGATTCACGTAATGGAATTCATACATTGTAAAGTGATATTTGAGGAAAAGCCCGTATAAATCCCTAACTTCAGAAACCTCATTGGTGTTTTTGATAAATATTATTTTCACTGAAAAACATGAGATAACAAGTAATGGTTACCAGTTCCTTTGGAACATACTACTTGTCAGAAATAAAACACATAGCTTTTGTTTGTTTGTTTTTTAAGAAAACCATGAAATCAGTTTGATACATGAGTAATTCAGTTTTCAAACCCAAGAAAGGATTGGCTGTAATGAATAGAAGCAGTCCACTTGGTTCCAGGATCACGTTCATAGCCTGGGACAAATAGACTTTCACTTGAACTTCTCCATCACATTTAGAGAATCGTGAAGAGAGAATTGTGCAAGGGGATGTTTAGAAGAATAACCTGGAAATGTTGCAGAATTCTTACATATCAAGGAGTGCTTAAACTCTAAGATTTGTTCTACCTAATAAGGCACTGAGTAGGCTAAAATAGTTCATTTTTTTAGAGTTTTAGGTTATCTTAAAAAAAATAAGTTAAACTTGATTTGTTCTACCTAATAAGGCACTGAGTAGGCTAAAATAGTTCATTTTTTTAGAGTTTTAGGTTATCTTAAAAAAAATAAGTTAAACTTGATTTGTTCTACCTAATAAGGCACTGAGTAGGCTAAAATAGTTCATTTTTTTAGAGTTTTAGGTTATCTTAAAAAAAAAAATAAGTTAAACTTGAATTGTGACTTTACCCAGTAGGAAAGTTCATGTGTTTGTGATTTTAAACCAAATTTTAAGAACAAAGGTAAAATAAAATAATAGCTACCCAGAAAATGTAAATGGGTTTTCAAAAATTTTACATTTTGATGGATCCACAAATGGCACATAGAAGCATCTTTTAAAGGGGTGATGGGTTATAATTTTACCTTATGGATATCCCACATTTGTGTAATGGCTTTATTTCAAAATGAATCTCACTAAATAAATGTTCTTAGACTAGATTCTTCTAAACACAGCTAATAAATCATCAGCTTTGCAGCATGGCTCTCAGGAAATCCCATTAATTAGTCAAAGAGTGTTATTTCTGTGTTCTTAGTAATTCTATCCATGTAGGTTTTAATTTAACTATAATAATAAGCTATCTCAGACAAATTGCAACTTGCAATTTTATTTTATTTTTATTGTCATATTTCTTACATCCCCACCCACATATAAGTTACTGTTCTATTTAAATAAAAAAAAACTTGAGAAGTTAAATAACAACCTCACATGAGATACAGCATGACTTTTAAATATAACAGAAAGAGTTCAGTTTGAAATAAGCGAAGCTCTTTTTAGATAATGGCTAAAGTGATTTAACTAGCTTTGAAAAAAACAATAAAGAACCTAACTATTTTTCTCAGTCCAGAATAAAGTTGTATTTGGAGGAAACAGGGCTTAAATTTAAGCTATTGTGAAAAGTGACAGGAACTAATTATTACTAAGAGAGAAATCTGTAAAATAAAGTGATTTCACTATTTATTAAACACCAAAAATCTTCAGAATCCAAGATCTAAATCCATATCTATAGTTGTAGTGATATCTGACTTCCACAATCCAAATAGGAATGATGTTTAAATAATCTATCAATTCATAAGTGCAGATCGATAGAATGCAACCCTGTTATGCTTAGTACAGAAAAACAGTGTAAGATATTCTGGTCTAGAAAGAATGGATCATCTCTTATGGTGTCATTATGTAACATCTCTTTCTCAAAAATCAGGACTACTCAGAATATAGAAAGTAAATGCAAAACCTTATTTTGGCTCTCAAAGTCATCTAAAATATGGACCCATTCTGTCTTTCCAGTTTCTTCTCTCATTATATTTCTCTATGCACACAGTGTCCTCTGGCAAGACAACTAAAATTTTTGAGCTGCTTCCCAAATTGCTAAATTCACAAATTTCTCTCATAAAAAAAGGTATGTAGTTTTTCAAAGAGAACCAGAAAAAAGTCATTTTTAAAGACAGGAATATATGTCTGAGCCTGCTCCCTGCTTTAGTGACCTGCTTCTGATATGAACCTCCCACAGAGGGCAATTTAAATATTTGTTTTAGCAGAAGTTATACTACATACATATAGCACCTTACAGCTTGCCCCGAGAAGCAAAACTGTGGATGGAACTCTTTCCATTGCACATATGCAAAAATTGGAAAGGAAATAATATTACACGCAGAGTTAAAAGAATGGCAGGGAGGTATGAAATAATGTGTTGTGGGTTAAGCTGCTTTATAATGTTGATGAATAAAATGCAAGGAAACAGTGGTAGAGGAGTGCAGTGAATAGGGACAGTGACAGGCTGTAGAAGATGTAATGAGACATGATAGTAATGTCAGACTTTCTCATTTAGGTCAGGGTTTCTCACACTTGAATAAAATATAGACTCTATTTAAGGCTAAGATACTAATTGCCTAATGATTTATAATATTTGAAATGATAATGTTAGGTAAATATGTACCAAAATAAAACTGGTTAAAACCTGTTAAGATGACTGTTGTGGATTGAATTGTGTACCCCCCCAAAAGATATGCTGAAATCCTAATATCTGGTACCTCTGAATGCAACCTTACTTGAAAATAGGGTCTTTGTAGGTGTAATCAAGTAATATGAAGTCATGGTGGACTGGAGTGGGCCTTGATGAAATAATTGGTGTCCTTACTCAAAGAGGGAAATGTGGCTGCAGAGACACAGCCGTGAGACAATGAAGGCAGAGAGAGCTGCAAGCCAACGGCCACCGAGGGTTGATGGCAGCCACCAAAACCTGCAAGAAGAGTATGGAACAGATGCTCCCTCAGAGCTTCCAGAAGGAACCGTCATTTTGGACTCCCAGCCCTCAGAGTAATTTCCATTGCTTTAAGCCACTCCGTGATATTTTACTAGAGCAACTCTAGAAAACGAGTGCAATGACAAAAACATAAACAAATACATTATAGAAAAAAATTGCAAACTATCATCACTAATTTAATATTTGATATACCTGATTGCATTTTGACTATTATGTGTGGTTTGATCTAATAGATAAACTATTTTTCTCTGTTCTAACGCAAAGTGCCTTTTTGTATTAACGTGTTATCAAAATGATATCACAAAATTCAAAAACTGTATTACCATTATAGGGTAATTTAATCGAATTCTCAATTCAAATTTCATTCATAATAATTGTTTAAAACCAATTTTAAAGGTGTTACTTGATACTGTACAAAAGTTTTTTGTTTACTTGAAGTTCAATTTTGCTTTGGAGCAATATTGAATTATACATTAATTATCTAATTAAATTATATCTGGAACTAGGTTCAGAAAGGAAGTTCATTTGCAATATTCAAATGTATCTATTGAAACCAAACCATTGAAATTTGGTATATACAACAATGGAACATGTTTTGAAAATGCATTTGTAGCAATTGGCATGGTACTAAAAGTTATGGTACAAATTCTTTTGATTTCTGAAAGGCCATGCCATTTTTATATATTATTCAATTCTTTCATGACTTTTATCAGCCAATTATATAGCATGCTTTAGTGTTATGCGGTCTCATTGTAAACCCCCAAAATAGTCCTAGGCACTGAGCCAGGTCAGATGGCAATATTCTGTTATTAAGTGATTATCTTATTGATTCAAAAGATTATTATATTGTTTTAGCTTTTCACCAAGATACAGTAATTTTTAAGATTTTCCAGGAGAACTAGAAAGAAGTTCCATATGCTCTTTGCATAATATATGGAGCATATAGAATTTCTCCATATGATCTCCTTAGTAGGATAGTATGATGTCTTATGTAGATGCTCAGTACTCCCAAGAGACATGTGGAAATATTCAGTCCTCTTAAGGTCAAGTCCTGGAATTGGCCCAGCATCACTTCTGCCATAATTTACTGGCCAAAGCAGTCACAGGCTATCCAAGATGCAGTAACGTGGAAGGTTAGTCTTTACCTCTTGACAGGAAATGACATACATGGGAAAGAGAAGAATTCAATTGTGGCCACAGGAATTGCTGACAATTATTGTTCTTAGGTATGATGATAATATCATGGTTATGGTTTTTTTTTTTAATAGTCCTCAACTTTTAGGGATTCACAGGGAAATATTTATACATGAAATTATATAGTATTTGGGATTTTCTTCAATATCATCCAGAATGGGAGAAGATAATAGGGAGAGAGAGTCTGCTTGTATGCAACAATATCAACTGTATATTGATTTTATTGAAACTGGGTGATAGGTATATATAGTTATCTCTAGTTTCATAGTATGTTTAAACATTTTCACAATAAGAAGTTAAAAAAAGTTCTAGAATCTCAGCCAGAAAGGTCCAAGATATTTGAGGAAGTAATTTCTTGATGAAAAATAAAGAAATAGGTCTACAAACGTCACAGAAGTTCGCATCTATGAAAATTGAGTTGGTTCTGTATCAGGTAAGTTTGGATTCTTGTTTATACAGAAGAATGGGACTTTGCTCTCTGCACATCTAATTCATATGATGCTGACCTTTATTCAACAACACAGACTACACACAATCCCTATTTTGCCTACCCTCCAACTGTCTGCCTTCATATTTCCATCATGCTGGGGCAAATCACACTACAAGAAGGTAACTGGACAGGCTAGATTTGCAGATGCTCCGCCCTCTCAGAATACTTAGCTACATTGTTCAACAAGTTAGGTTAAAATACAGACACTTTTCAGAAACTCATAAGGTTAGGCCTCTTATTGAGAAACAGTGTTCTCATATTCAAAGCTTTCATTCTAGTTTGATGTAGGAGGTATGTTTTTGCATGTCCCCCATAAAACTACCACTGAATGCAATGTATATGTTGTAATATCATTTTTGTAAAGATTTGCATTAGATATTATTTTTATATTTTTA